CTAAAAATGTAGTTTATTTGACTTGATAAACAGTTGTTAAATTGTCTCATGAAAATGTCATGATTTAATTTAATTACACATCATAAACTGATTATTAAAACTGAATCCACAAAAAAAAGTAAATGTGGAAAAACTGAATTCAAAATAAATAAGCAAGTATGTATGTAAGTAAGTAAATAAATAAATAAACAGTATAGAGAAACATTTAAGTAGAATTTGGGATAAAATAAAACTTTTGTATAACTTTAAATAAAATTGTTAAATGTCATAAGTTGCATTCTTTCAATTAATTGTGTTAAAATTGAATTTAACTAAAACATTATCCAGAAAAAATTTAAGTGGAAAAAAAAAAAAAGTTAATTTGGGGAAAAAAATAAAAATGGGTCTCATAGAACCCAGATAAAGTGAAGGATGATCAGTCTTATTGTGCATCAGTCAGACTGGTAAGACTGATGAAACACGGGGCAACTTTTGGAGCTATTTTGCCGGACAACATTTTTTTTTTGTTGAACAATGTTGCTTGGGCACTTTTCCTTTGAGAATGGGTAACAAATTGCTATTTGGATATTTTAGATCGGTCATTGGGCCCTGTGTCTCACCTGGTTGCTCGTTGACGGCAACATTGCTCAAAAAGTTGCCCCGTGTATCATCAGCCTAAATGTTTCATGTTTCTGTATAGTTGTGTTCTGGATTATTTGAGCTGCAGATGTTTGTGAAACACACACAGCTGTAGTTTGATCTGTGAACTCTGCAGAGCGGTTCCTGGACTCGTCGGGGAGGAGAGTGACTCCGAGCAGCTTCCTGCCGTTCGGAGCCGGTCCGCGGGTCTGTGTGGGAGAATCTCTGGCCAGAATCGAGCTATTTCTGTTCGCCAGCCGCCTCCTGCAGCGCTTCCACTTCAGCGTCCCGCCGAGGGCTTCTCTGCCCGAGCTGCAGGGAAGATTCGGTGTGGTGCTCCAGCCTCAGAGCTACAGCGTCACAGTCACACCGCGACACTGACACACACTTACACACACTCGCACACACGCACTCTCACACGCACTCACACACACACACGCACTCGCACGCACTCGCACGCACTCGCACACACTCTCACACACTCACAGGTTTGTTTTTGTGAAAAGTGTGGACTCTCCATAGGCGTAATGGTTTTTATACTGTACTGACCGTATATTCTATTGCCCTACACCAACCCTACCCCTAAACCTACCCCTCACAGGAGACTTTCTGCTATTTCAGATTTTCAATACACTCCATTCTGTGTGATTTATAAGCGTTTTGAAAAGTGGGGACATGGGGTAATGTCCTGAAAAGTCACCTTCTCCTTGTAATACCTGTCATACCTTTGTCATTATACAAGTATATAAGTATACAAATATATAAGTTTATGTCCTCATTTGTCACAAAAACGCGCGCACACTCACTCACTCACACTCACTCATTCACACGCACGCACGCACGCACACACACACACACACTCACACGCTCACTCACACACACACACACACACACACACACACTCTCACATTCACACACACTCACTCACACACACACACACACATTGTCTGGTCAGTTATCCTTGTAGGGACTCTCCATAGGCGTAATGGTTTTTATACTGTACAAACCGTATTTTCTATCACCCTACACTAACCCTACCCCTTACAGGAAACTTTCTGCATTTTTACTTTCTCAAAAAAAAACTCATTCTGTATGGTTTATAAGCTTTTGTACCCATGGGGACCTCAATTTAGGTCCCCACCGTGACACGAGTCCCCATGAGTCTGTGTGTATTCAGGTTTAAGTCCCCACCAGGATATATAAACCTGTACACACACACACATACTGCTGTTCCACTGCTGGACACTGAGAGCGCCGCTGCATGTGTGTGTGTGTGTGTGTGTGTGTGTGTTTTTGTGTGTCTGTGTGTGTGTGAGAGAGAGAGCAAGAACAGAAGAAAGTTAACATGCAAAATTAGCCTAGTAAAAAAGCCACATAACAGTCAAGAAATCATAAAAAAATCAGTAAATCAATAAATACAGAGGGGACTGACAAAAAGACAAAAAAGAGGCTTTTCAGCAAGTTTAAGTCTCTCTGTTCACACACACATTTTGCTTCCGGCTTCGCTACCGTTCGGATGCTCTTGCTTACTGCTCCGCGCTTTGCTCTCTGTTTATGTATTTTTCTCTGATTTTTCTAAGATTTTAATTTCAGCAGATTAGCACAGTGCTCAAACAACACATTTTTGGCACAAACACTAAACTAAAAACTCTTCGGGACTGGAATAATATCACGAAAAAGAAGACTCTTTGCCTCCCACTGCCAGCAGCTTACATTCCGGAGACGGGAATCACAGCTGCCTACATTCAAACAGACGAGAAAGAAAATGCCTCTCGTGGAATCTACTTGCTGTATGAAGTGCCACAGACTTCTACAAAGGATTGCGGTTCTTGAAACAAAGTTACTTGCTGGACTTCCAAAACAGGTGGAACACTGCTACCATCGTCACGGACCCCTTCAATATACAGCCGGTGAGTCCTGTGAATCTAGTGAATCCAAAACAGTTTATACCAAGTGTAGAGGAACAAGCCAAAATTGATCGACACACTAATCGATGGCACAAACAGGGAGCGAGAACCAAAGGCACTCGAGACATCAGATTGTCACGAGTATCTCGTATTGCTGCGGTAGCATCCTCTACCCCAGATTCGGCTATGACAAGGCTTGCAAACACTGGTATTCTACCATCCCCTATACATCTTGAGAACAGATTTAAAGCATTAACGAATGCAAGTGAGGAATCCCCAAGTGTGATTAAACATGGATCGTATCAGCTTGCATTCAGCTCAGATTGCAGCCGAGCCCAGGACTCTGATAGTGGGCGACTCTATTATCAGAAACATCAGTAGCAGGACTACAACGACATGCTGCTTTCCTCAAGCAACCGTCTCTGATGTGAACAAGGAACTTCGGAGCATTCTAATGAAGCACAAGACTGCATATCGAATCATCATCCATGTGGGGAAGAATGATATTTGGAAAGAGCAGTCAGAACTCCTTAAGAAGGATTTCAGTTAACTCTTTGAATCAGTTGTTCATCAGTGGACCACTCCCAGCAAGGGGAACTAACATGTTTTCACAGTTGCTTGGGCTGAATACATGGCTACAAAAAACCTGCAGTATAAAACAACATTCGCACTCTTTTTGCTACTGTTGAGAGACTAACAAACCCCCCAAGTCAGATTCCCAGTGAAATGCTCTCCGACATCAAATGCAATGAGTTTGCTTCCTTCTTTTTTGAGAAGATCAATAATATCAGGAAGGCGATTAGCACAACCTCAAGTTATGCAGAGGTCAGACAGATTCGACCGCAATATCAAAAAGAAGATACTATGTCTGTTTTTGAAGCAATCGCTAGCAAAATTTTGGAAGAAATAGTAGAGCACCTTAAATCGTCAACCTGCGACCTTACCAGACTCAAAACTCATCTGTTTAGCTGTGCATTTATTGAATGAGCACTGTGCGATGTCCGAACTGATTGCACTGTATTTTATGTATAATCGTTTTCTATTCTTAACTGTTTTAAATTCATTTTAAATCAAATTTTAAATCATTATAAAAGTTTATAAATTAATTGTTTTATTGTTGTGATAATTTTTTTATGATTATTTTACTTCCTTTTATGTAAAGCACTTTGAATTACCACTGTGTATGAAATGTGCTATATAAATACCCTTGTCTTGCCTATTCATTTGCAGAAATTCAAGGTATTCTTCATTATTTCTTAGCACTGAAATTAATCAAAGAGTTCCTTATGAAATCACTAGAAATGTGTTAAAGGTTTTAGGAATTCATTCTTATGTAAATAAATAAACAAACAAATAAATAAATAACCTTTTTTTCTCAGTGAAATTGTCAAATTTAGGAAATAACCAGTAATGCAAATCCTCCCAAAAGTCACATGCAAGCAAATTAAAATTCAAATAATAAATAATAAATTAACATGAAATGTAAATGTAGCCGTTTCAATCTGTTCATCACAAAAAGAGCAATTTTTTTAATCTAGACCAAATCGACATCTAAAATAAAATCTCTGGATTTGAAAAAAAGATTTTCAAAGATTTTGTGTAAGATTGAAGATTGAAGTGCAAAAATATTTGACACTTAATTTTACATTTCTTAGTTTATCAGCTTCACTCTTAGAAAACTGAAAATCAATTTTTTTTCTTTATTTCTTTATTTATTTATTTTTTTGAGGAAAAAGGTTATAATTCCTTAATTATTCCTCCAGATTGTGGTATTGTGCAAATGAGCATGCAATATTTTTCATAGATTTTAACCTGTATTTATTTCTAATTGTAGTTTTTCATATAAATGTCTATAATGAAACCGTAAATGCCATGAGAACGATCTTAATACTACAGTATTATGTTAGTAAGCTGTTCCAGACATCCAAATACAACCGGTGATTTCATCTTTTGCATTTGTTTTGCATCTTTTTTGAGTAAATTGGGTATCTGATTAAAACATATGCCTATGGACATTTTATATATCAAGGTTTTGGTTAAAAAAATTGAAATTTTCTGTAATGTAATGTATATACAGTATAAAATAAAATGTGAGTATATAAAGTTTTTGATTTTAATATTTTTTAAATTTGTAATAATAAATTGTGTGTGTGTGTGTGTGTGTGTGTGTATATATATATATATATATATATATATATATATACACTATGAAGTTATTATACAGTCCTTAAGACTGATGTGGTTTGGAATTGGTCAAATATGCTTGGAAAAAATATCATCAGAATTTCAATGTGCCGAATAATTATGCACGCGGTGTATTTCCTATTAATATTATATTATTATAATATATCATTCTCTCTATTTCTCTACAATTTTATTTATATTAAATAAGAAAGCTAATATTCCAACTGCATTATAAAACCTTGTCATTGTCATCTTCGATCATATATATGTATACGATATAGATTTTTAAAGTTATCATGATTCCCTGGGAAATTAAATCAACAGGCCGTTGGTGCAAACAGAAGGCCAGTCGTTTCCTAAAGCTCACCCTTATCTGAAGCAGGTTCGGTTTGGTTTCATAGAATGGATTCAATAAAACGGAGCGATGAATTCTATTTAATTTAATCAATCACAATTCATCAGTTCTCTGTAAAGCACTGGTGACTCATAAAACACACACACACAGCGCTGACTGTGCAAACAGAGATTACAGGACAGGCGGCTGATGGTGTCGTTGGAGTAAAGCGTTTAGTCTTTAAACGTCTGAATTACAGCTTCACATCGGCGTCTCACACACACACACACACACACACACACACTCTATTGCTGACACTCAGTGGGTCGTCATGGTAACAGAGATGGTGGAAACACTGAAGGCCTCTGACAAACACTCCTAACAGCATGCTTACAAAATATAGATCATTTCATATCCACACACAGCTTATATATTCATCTGAAGCTACTAGAGTTATTCTTATGTAGAATTAGATCTATTTCCATATATATATATCTATGTATGTCTGATTCAACAGCAGCTCGCTGTCGGTCATCAGGCGGAGTGACTCTCATCAAAACACATCCAGATCACCTTTTACATCCCAAAAATAAATTAATATATGATTTATTATATATATATATATATATATATATATATATATATATATATATATTTTGTGATGTGTGTGTGTGTGTGTGTGTGTGTGTGTGTATATATATATATATATATATTTTTTTTTTTAGTAAAAATTAATTGATTATTTTCATGATAATTAAGCACATTTTCATCTCAAAAGATCATTATTGTAGTTCTTCTGGACATATTTTTCTGTTTTCTTAATTTTCTTATTTTTTTAAATTTGTTAATTAAAATGTAAAAATTATTTGTATTTATTTTAATGGTAATTACGCACATTTTCTTCTCAAAGGGTCATTGTTATAGTTCGTCTTTTTTTCTTATATGTTTTCATGTGTAATGTATAGATTTTCATATCTATTCTGATTCTCACTAAATTCTCGTTCTATTAATACAATGTCTTTTTACATTTAAACCTGTATAAATGAATGGCAATACAACAAATACTATCACGATGTGCATAATATACAATAGAATGTTAATGTTATTTTTTCACATTACAGTAATATGAATTAAAGGGTGAAATGTGCTTAATGGCCATGAAAATAATGCAAAAATTCCAAAAAACAAGCGATTTTCTTTATGCAAAATATAATTCCCTATGTCTTTCACTTGATTGTGGAGTCAAGCGTGATCTTGACAGACCTGATGAGATTCACCCGCCTGCATGTTGTAAATGAACGATGGCGTATCAGTGTCTGACATAAAGACGTAAATGAATGTTGAACCGCAGCAGAAGTCCTGAGGTGCGTCTCGATTCTTCTCCAGTGGTTGTGATGCAGCATCTGTTTGGCCGAGCTGGTGTCGAGGAACGCTGGGCAGTGCAGAAACCTCTGGCCAGCCTGCTTTCTGTGTTTCCGCTCTGTGTTTTCATCTTCTGCATTACCCAGAATTCCATGGGAAGGGTGTTTGTGTGTGTTGTTTTTCACAACTGTTGGTGTTTGCGTAAAACTAATGAGCAAAAGAAGCAGCCGGACCGTCAGAGAGAAAGTAGGAACGTGTTTAGGGTTCGTTCCGCTCATCCACATTTACGTGTGTTTGCACGTCTTCAGTTCGCTTCAGTTCCCTAGAGTTCACATCACGACGAAGAACCTTTCACTACGAATGGCCAAAAATCTAACAAAAATGTTGCATTATGTATTAAAATGTTGAAAATGTCTTCTACATTCCAATGCAAAAATAAATAAAATGGATAAAACAACATAAAATGTAAATTAGTTATTTTTCTTTCTATTTTTTCCCCCCTCATGACGGGTCAAATCAAAGGTCATCACGGGCTGACTTTGCTCTGGTTTGGGTATCTGTGATGTGGTGTGTCAGCGCCTCACCAGAGACCGACACAAATGCACACTACCAGCCAAAAGAGTTTCTGAAAGAGTCCCTTCTGCTCACAAATGTTGCATTTATTTGATCAAAAATACAGTAAAAATTTGAAATATTATTCTAATTTAAAACAGCTGTGTTCTATGTGATTATCTGTTAAACTGTAATGTATTTCTGTGATGCGCAGCTGTATTTTCAGCATCATTCCTCCAGTCTTCAGTGTCACATGATCTTCAGAAATCAGTATAATATGCTGATCTGCTGCTCAAGAAACATTTCTGATTGAATGTTGAAAACGGTTGTGCTGCACAATATTTTTGTGGAAACTGTGATACATTTTAATTTTCAGGATTCACAGATGAATAGAAAGTTCAAAAGAACAATATGTCAAATAGAAATCTTTGGTAACATAATGTCTTTACTGGCACTTTTAATTAATTTAACACATCCTTGATGAATAAAAGCATTAATTTATTTCCCCCCCCCCCCCCTTCTTATTTTACTTAAACTTCTCCA